GTGGGAAGTGGAGCGGCTGGGATAGAAGCAGCACCCATTTGGGATCCCGGCGCGTTCAAGGCGAGGACTTTAGCCACTAGGCCATGCCGCCAGGCCCCAGAAAAGTTTTTTAAAAATAGGTACCAAGTTTCACGAGTGACAAAAAATTGAATCAATGTTGCAATCTTCTGTAGAACTTTAGTCTTTTAACCTCTTAGTCTACAAGTCTAGTCCTCTTATTGTAATAAGTATCCTTCAAAAAACATGACATATAATTTTTAGTGGTATGAGATGAACTTCAAAAGGTTCACAAGAAATGAAATGGGAAGGCTTGGGTCTGATGCAGTAGCCTAGCAGCTGAAGTCCTCGCCTTGAACGTGCCGGGATGCCAAGGGTGTCAGCCCCATCTAATCCTGGCGGCCCTACTTCCCGCCCAGCTCTGTGCGTGAGACATGGAAAAGCAGTCGAGAACAGCCAAAGCCTTGGGACCCTGCATCCACGTGGGAGACCTGGAAGAGGTTCTGGGTTCCTGGCTTCAGATTGGCGCAGTTCCAGGCACTGCAGCCACTTAGGAAGTGAATCGTCAGGAAGATCTTCCTCTTGTCTCTCTTCCTCTGTGTATATCTGACTTCCCAATAAAAATTAAAACTTAAAAAGAAAAAAAATTGGAAGACTTCTTTTGTGAAAAAAATCTTGATACTTCATGATACTTTTCAAATCATGCATGTTTCCCATGAAATTTTTTAGGACCTATAACAACCAGAATGTCTTCTAAAAGGGATTCAAAATCATGTCACATCCAAGTTTTGTACCATCCATTCCTGCTGATGTTATCTTTACTATAAGGTTTCCAGAAACGCTGTAGAAATGGGGCCTGGTGAGGACTTCCCATAATTAGGCTAAAAAGAATTACATGTCCTATATTAATATTGCTTTATGATCCCTTAAAATGCTAAGAAAAAATGAATCTGACATCACTGGATAAATTTTCAGTTAGCTTTCTATAGTAAGAGAGGTCATCACTGGCTTGTCATTCCAAATCTTCACATTACAACTTAGCTATACTGTCCTGCTGACTTGACAAAAAATGGCTTTTATAAAGTAAATCTAAAGCTCTTAAAAAGTCCTTCATTTTATCTCAACTGTTGAAACTAAAATTTTGATGACAGACAGGTTACAAGTGAATGGTTCCCTAGAGAGCTATATCTCCTCTGAAATAAAGAAAAGGTATTTTGAGGGAAAATTCAGCCAATATTTTAAAATAAATGTCTAATTCATAAATTTTTTTGTTTATATGCTAACAGGCAAAGAGACAGGACATGGTTTATCTGTTAGTTTATCCCCAAATGCCCCAACAGGTAAGACTGGGCAGGCCCAAAGTAAAGAATAGCAGCCATCACCTGCTACATCTCTATACATACTGGCATGGAACAGCATGGAACTGGGAGTACTGTCAGGACTCATACCCAGGCACTTGATAAGAGGACAGACATGTCCCAATAGGCATCTTAACTTCCTGCTATTATTTGTTTTTAAAGATTCCTATACTATTTTTCTTGTTAACTATTTGGGTCTGGCACAATGGCTTCACGGGCTAAACCTCCCCTTTCAAGCGCCATGATGCCATACAGGTGCTGGTTCATACCCCAGCTGTCCCACTCTCCCTCCAGCTCCCTGACCAAGGCCTTAGAAAGCCAAGGAGGATGGCCAAAAGCCTTGGAACCCTTCACCCACACAGGAAACTCAAAAAAGCTCCTGGCTTTTGATCAACTCAGCATTACCCATGGCGGCCATTTGGGAAGTGAACCACCAGATTTCTCAAAATCTCCCTCCTCTCTGTAAATCTGTCTTTCCAAGAAAAACAATCTTCCACAATTCCATCCCACCAAAAAAAAAAAAAAAAAAAAAAAATCAAACTTGTTTACTTTGGCTGGGGCTGCGGCACAGCAAGCTGCAAATCAACCTGTGGTAAGCACCCCACAGGGGTACAGGTTCATGTCCCAGCACGTCTACTTCCAATCCATTTCCCTGCTAACACACTTGGGAAAGCAGAAGATGGCCTCAAGTTCCTGGGCCCCTGTACTAACGCAGCAGATCTAGAGAAGGCTCCTAGCTTCAGACCAGCCCAACTCTGGCCATGGTGGTATGAACCAGCGAATGGAAGAACTTTCCCTCCTAACCTTTTAAACAAAATTTTTTTTAAATTATTTTATTGGAAAGTCTGATACACAGACAGGCGAGACAAATATCCTCCATCCAAGAATCACTCCCAAATGACCAGAGATTGATTCAATCACTCCACAATGGCCAGAGTTGAGCCAATTCAAAGCCAGGAGCCTCTCCATGTACCCCAAGGCCCTGGGCCATTCCCAACTGTGCAGTACTCACCCATGCAAGGTAAGGACTTCAGCCGCCAGGCTACCGTACCAGGTGCAAAAATTGAATCTTAAAAAAATTGAGTGGCTCAGCGAAGAGCCTAGTGGCTAAATCCATGCCTTGCATATACCTGGATCCCATATGGACGCTGGTTGTAATCCCAGCAGCTCCACTTCCCATCCAGTTCCCTGCTTTGGCCTGGAAAAGCAGTCAAAGACAGTCCAAAGCTTTGGAACCCTGCACCCATGTCAGAGACCTGGAAGAAGCTCCTGGCTTCTGGCACTGAATCAGCTTAGCTCTGGCCATTTCACACAGGGAGTGAACCAGTGGATAGAAGCTCTTTTTCTGTCTCTCCTTCTCCACACCTGTCTCTCCTTTCCTAAATATAAAATAAATCAATCCTTTTTTTTTTTAGATTTATTTTTATTATTTTTTTATTGGAAAGGCAGATATACAGAGAAGAGAGACAGAGAGGAAGATCTTCCGGCCGATGATTCACTCCCCAAGTGAGCGCAATGGTCGATACTATGCCAATCCAAAGCCAGGAGCCTCTTCCAGGTCTCCCACACGGGTGTAGGGTCCCAAAGCTTTGGGCTATCCTCAACTGCTTTCCCAGGCCACAGGCAGGGAGCTGGAAGGGAAGAGGGGCTGCCGGGATAGAACCGACACCCATATGGGATCCCGGGCGTGTAAGGCGAGGACCTTAACCACTGCGCCACCGCGCCGGGCCTAAATCAATCCTTTTTTAAAAGATTTATTTTTATTGGAAAGCCAGATATATAGAGAGGAGGAAAGACACCAAGGAAGATCCTCCATCTGAGGGTTCCCTCCCCAAGAGGCTGCAACGGCTGGAGCTCAACCGATTCGAAGCCAGGAGACAGGAGCTTCCCCCAGGTCTCCCACAGGGTGCAGGGTCCCAAGGCTTTGGGCCGCCCTCGACTGCTTTCCCAGGCCACAAGCAGGGAGATGGATAGAAAGCGGGACTGCTGGGACGAGAACCGACAACCATAAGGGATCCCAGCGCATTCAAGGTGAAGACTTTAACCTCTACGCTATCACGCAGGGCCCAATAAATCCTTCTTTAAAAAGCACTGAGTCTGAGTTACACGCAAAGTGGCAGATAGAGGACAGCAGTTTTCCATCCACTGGTTTATTCCTCAGATGGACACCACAGTCACGGAGGACTAAGCCAGCATGCAGCAGGATGCCAGAACTTCATCTAGAACTCCCACACAAGTTGCAGCAGCCCAAACAATCAATGGCCCATCTTCCTCTGCCTTTTTTTTTTAGGATTTATTTATTTATTCTCAAGTCAGATATACAGAGAGGAGGAGAGACAGAGAGGAAGATCTTCCGTCCGATGATTCACTCCCCAAGTAAGCGCAACAGCCGATCCTATGCCAATGCAAAGCCAGGATCCAGGAACTTCTTCCGAGTCTCCCACATGCGTGCAGGGTCCCAAAGCTTTGGGCCGTCCTCAACTGCTTTCCCAGGTCACAAGCAGGGAGCTGGATGGGAAGTGGAGCTGCCTGGATTAGAACCGGCGCCCATATGGGATCCCGGGGCGTGCAAGGCGAGTACTTTAGCCACTAGGCCACACCGCCAGGCCTTCCTCTGCCTTTCAAGGTGAGCTTGTTTGTAAGTGAGCAGCTACCTAGAACTCGAATCAGAGCCCTTATGGGATACTACCATCATAATTGTTGACTTGATCCACTACTTCATACCAGCCCTGACACCTACATTCTTACTGGTAGCATACTTTGCTAACATTCAACCTCCACCATACTTCTATCACATGTATTTTAGAGTTTCAAGCCATAGAGAAGAGCAAAACACAGATTTTTGTTTCTCCTTTATGATCAGCTTTAAAATTTATGGTACAGGTTGAGAACCCTTAATTAATATAAAATGTTTCAATATCTGAATTAATTCTGGACCCAAGCACTTCAGATAAAGGATGATACTCAACCTGTGCATCTGACTGGGGGGCTATATTTCAGGAGAAATCACTGATGATTTCACACTGGTTTTAGCATACCCCGTGAAATACGAAATCTAGATAAGGCAAAATCCAGAAATCATTATCATAGCAAGCCATCCACAAAAGCTTCTCCTTAATATATTCCTTGGTACTGTTCATAGCTTTAAAAGTAATCCTGAACTCTTCAACTATAAAAATGTAGTCATGGAATAAAAGTAGTTAGAAGTTATTTATTTTTAAAAACACTGGTCCCCAATTTAACATCTGGTATTTTTAAACCAAATTTTGCCATTCATTAATTAACTTAGAACTAATTATTATGTCTGAGAAATATTTTAGCAAAAGGGATAGCCCAGATATGTCAAAAAACTGACAAATCTACCAGCTTTCTTTCATAAACTATTTCACATCCCCATAAATTTAACCAGATTACTAAAGCCTACTAAGTTCAAGAATCATCTTACTAAGAAATCTTCCACATTACCTTATAGACCATGAATTCTAGTCATTATACTTGAAAAAAAAGCACACCTCTGGCTTTTACACAGTGAGACAACACAGACTGAACAGTTCAAAAGAAACAGTTGATAAACTCTTAAAACACAGTTAAGAAAAACTTGAGATTAAAGACAGTGAATACAGTCTAAAAGGGGAACAGACTTACCAGTTTAACAGCCTCCTGAGCTGCTTCTTTTGTACAAAAAGTGACAAACGCGTAACCTCTGTTGAGACCAGTGAGTGGATCCATCATCAGACGGAGATCCCATATGGGTCCAGCTTTCTCAAACAAAGGAACAAGCTCATCCTCAAACAGATCTCTTGGGATCTTCCCCACAAATATCTGCAAGTTAAATATGAAGTAAAACCATGGAGAATTTTCTTTAGGAAATTAGGTACCTGAATTTTTACAGCAAAAGGTACAAGTTTTTAGTTTCTTTACCTCAGTGCCAACAGAAGGCTGCTGACCTGAATAAACGGAATCTGGAGGCGGTCCCCCATACTTCCTCTGTCCAGTGGTCACATCAAGTGTGTAGCCTGTTCTTTCCAAGAGTGCCTTAAAAAATTCAAATATCATCAATACACTGAATTCACAAAACTACACACATGTATTCAGAAGGATTTCCATCTTGTCCAAATCTTTCCAATTGCCTTGATAATAATCTCCCATAAATAGGTTTCTGGTGTTTATCTCAGAATTTTCCCCTTAATTTGCCCTGATTACATCCATAACTTACTGTCAAATTTTCAGTTTCTTGTTCACATCATTTTTTAGCAATTTACTTAGCAATGGTCATTGGGCAAAAAATTAAGCTCAATCCATCAGCAACTTTCAAGATATCTACTTTGCTAATACCACCCCCAAAAATGCAACTAATTTAGCTGTTTATCTCCCAAATCTGAATTTCTTACCGAATAAATTCCCTGTACCCCACTCCAAGGTGCACAAGCCATTCTGGGCATTTTGCCAACTTTGAAGAAATTACACTCCTCAAACCAAGTCTAGAAACTTGGGATCTACAGGAAAAAACCACCTCTTATTACTTGACATTAGAGCACCACGCCTCACAGGACAGCATGGACCATTAAAAACAAAACAAAAAAAAAAAAAAAACTAGAGCCAAAACAATTTTGCAAGCTATGGAATTGCAACAATGTGACACACCTGCTACATTTTATCTGCCTACAATATATGCACTGTTAAAATTTAAACAATATATACTCAGGACAAGAATTTCTCTTCATCCACTACAAGCAAAAGTTTTTATAAGTCAAAAGAATTATTTCCCTGACTACTTTAACCAAATTATAAAACCAGTTTTCCTACATAAAACCAACCTGTTAATTGTAAATTCTGAAAAAGACTAGCATCAGCCACATCACAAAACCTAATTAAAATGCTATTAGATGACCTGAGTTTATCTTAGTCTCTGAAAATTAAAATGAACAGATTTTAAATATCTTCCAAAGAACATTAAATATGTATGAAATACTGCATTCATTAAAATTTTTCAAAACATTCTGACAAAAACTGAAAAATTCACACTGTTGTAAAAGCTGTTCTTTTCTCACACCAAAATGACTGCTCCTGACCGCTCTGGTGCAAAACTGCACAACAAAGTAAAAATTCAAATCCATCAAATAAACTCAATCATTAAACTGCTCATCTTTCGTCTTTCACATGTGTAATCTGCGCCTTCAGAGTTTAACCTTAATCTTCTCATTGCCCAAATATCAACTTGATTCCAACATAAAAAACGGAGCAAAATTTGCTCCATCTATCAAATATACAAGTATTTTTATGACTTTTTGTTACAATTTAAGTACCATTAAATGTTTAAGCTGTTCCCTCCCAAAAACATAACTGAAAGTTCCACAAGCTAAATCAATATAAAGTCTAACTTCTAAAAATGTAGATTTGTTAGCAGACATCATTACAATAGGGAATATTCCCCATTTTTACAGAAAAACTGGATTTAGAATTCAAACTTCATGCACTCAGATTTTTGAGTCTTACGGCTGACATTAGCAGCTAACTTTCATATTTCAATATTCTAAACTGCCCAAGCCTTTATGATTCAATCAACCAATACCCATGTCTTTCCTAACCGATTTTCTGGGTCACACCCCTTAGCTCAAGAACACTAGCACGGCATTAAAGACCATCAGGTTAAAAATTGGTATGATCACTGCCTTCTCTATAAGCTAAGAAAGCTAAGCTAGACTAAAAAACTAACACCAACGTAAAAAATGTAGCTAAATTTGAGGCCACTTATTTTGCCACATGATCTTAAATGAAAATTCCTTTTCCACACAGCAACCTGATTGCTGCTTTCAGAAATAAAACATAATCTGGGCCCAGGGGCGTAGCCTAGTGGCTAAAAGTCCTTGCTTTGAACGCGTTGGGAGCCCATATGGATGCCAGTTCTAATCCCGGCACCTCCACTTCCCATCCAACTCCCTGCTTGTGGCCTGGGAAGGCAGTTGAGAACAGCCCAATGCTTTGGGATCCTGTACTCGTGTGGGAGACCTGAAGGAAATTCCTGGCTCCTGACTAAGGACCAGCACTGCACCAGCCATCGTGGTCGCTTGGGGAGTGAATCATCAGATGGAAGATCTTTCTCCCTGTCTCTCCTCCTCTCTGTATATCTGACTTTGTAATAAAAATAATAATAAATAAATATTTTTTAAAAAGTAAACTGTAATCTTAGCTAACCACATTAATACAAAAGAAAGGCATAAGTGTTAAAATTCTAAATTCACTAACGTTCTAGATTGCTAAGAAATCAGCCAGCTGCGTAAAGCACTTACTCCACCACCATGACAAAAACGGATTCCCATCCAATTTCAATTCGTTTGCACAACTGTCCATAACCTGGACTTGCAGCTTTTCAAATGGACCTGTTTCTCTAAATATTTTTATTTCTAATGCAATACAGAATTAATCATCAGTATCTAAGAAGATAAAACAGAAAATTAAGAAAAGTTAAAGGGAGGAAGCTTTAAAGACCAGAAAAGATGACAGAATTGCCTCAACCTTTGCAATACTCTGTACCCAAAGAACATTTTTCAAAGTTACAGAAGTTAAAAGAGCATTAGAACTAAGAAAGTTAAAGACCTACCTTAATTTTTGCCTCATCTGGTCCTTTACTTGAGTCTGCTACTTTGGTCCCCTGTTTTTCTCTCTGCCTGTAAGTCTTCATGACTCCACATAAAAAGGCACTTTTGTTCTGTAAAGAAATTGTCCATTCATACTTAAATTATTGTATGTGCAACTAAAACAACACAGCATGTCAACAGAACAAGTACTCAAAATTTTCATTTCTACAATATTATTACCTGCACATGAGAGAGATCACTGTCTTTAAACTGCTGAAGTACTGCCAATGCACCGTCTTCATTGAATTCTTTTAAAGCTTCGATAGCTCTTTCATCTAAATCACTATGTGCAACTAGGCCTGGAGAAAAAAAATGTAATTAACAACATTTATATTTTGGGCAACAATTTTTTTCAGAAAAGTCAAATTAGCCAATACCAGTACTTGTATGCCAACTACCCTACTACCCTATTCCCCTTATCTACATGATGAAAAACACACAAGTTTTGCCATTCTAAACTACATTCTTACACTAAAGCCCCTCAACCACGGTTTACAATACACGAGTCAACTTTCACATCTTGCTTTGTGTCCAAATTAGACAGTTCAGAACAGGACAGTATTTCTACAGTAACTACATTGATTTGCGACTCCTACGATCAACCAGCAAAATACCAAGCATGACAACTGAAATCTACTCAATTTCAAATACCACAAGAAAAAGTAACAGCCACTCTAAGACAACAGAACAAGGCTACAGTTACCAAGCTAGTTAACAAAAATCCTCCTATAAAAATACCAAAAAAAAAAAAAAATCCCATGGCCAGCTCCCAAATTGTAGCAGCTGTTCCTGGTGTCATGTACGGCAGGACATCAGAACAGCTAGCCTTCTGCTTCCGACTCCCTTCAGCCCACCCCCCAGACCTACTTCAAACCTAAAATCCACCAACTATCACAACCAAATTCCAGTTCCCACACTTCTTGGAAACCACAAAAAGTTGCTATTTTAGTTCAAAGCCAGAAATCCAATAGTAAAATTTCATATGTAATTTTGCAAGTGTTAGTTCTTACCTGCAACGTAAATTTCATCTAGCTTTTCAGCAACTTTCTGTGGTAAACCAGCATCAAGCAATGTCTGAAAATTTTCTGAATGGATAACTGCAGAAGTAGTATCCATGGGCTCTTCAGTACCATTTCCATTAACATGTTCTGTAGCCATGTTTCCAGAGATCTGTTTAAACGCAATAAGCAAAATTAAACTAGGATCTTCGAAAAGTATGAAGAACAATGAGAGCCCCAATCCTTACTTTTCTCTACCACTTACTACACCAGCCAGACTGCGCCTCCCTTTAAAGCAGCCCTACTTGAAGTCACTAACGCCTGACAAGCCAGATTTGTATGGTGCGCAGGGAACAGAAGGACCGATTCACTATATTCCTCAGCACCACCCCTGACTCACCTGCTAACACTCCCTAGGAAGAACCCTATTACAAATGAAGCCCAATCAGCACGAAGACGAGCCACCGTGCCACATGCAGCTGTGCCCACACGAAGAACAAGATGTGTGGAAAAGCATAGCTGGGCTCGTCCCTCTCCAAGGTAAACCCCTAAAGTGCGCGCTTTTCCCGCCTGCCGCTTATGGGTATCGGTAACAACAGCCAGCGAAGAACAAAGCGCTCACACAAGCCACCTTCCCACCACCCAATTTCTCCACCCTTCACCCCCCGCACCCCAAAGCCCGCCCCCGACTCCGCACCCAGAGCAGAGCGGCAGCCTCACCACTGCGGCCGCCAGGAGCCCATCAGAAACACGTGCTCTGCGCCTTCAAATGTCCTACAACTTCCTTCAACGGAAACCCACCGAGCCCCAGGCCAAGACGACCGTCACCGGCTCCCGACAGCAGACCGAAGCCGCGGTCGGAACCCCCAGAAACCTGCAGCAGCACAACCTCGCTCCTCCACACCGAGGCCGCAGCGGCGCCAGGCCACAGGCTCTCCCCGCCCCCCAGCGCCGCCGTCTCCGCCTTGACACATGGCTCTCCGCCCCGGGCTCTCCCAAGCGCGGGCGACCCCCGGCCGCCGGTCCGCCGGGAGACGTGACCCGCGGCGCGCGGGGCAGGTCCCCACCCCTCGCCCCTCGGTGCAGGCACTGCGGCGCCGAGGCCGAGCAGCCGGCTGCGTGAGGGCGTTCCGTGCACAGCCCCCCATGCCTGCGGGACCCCGAGCACGGCTGCGGGACAGGACCCGCTCCTCTCCGCCCACTCCCGCGCCGCGGCCGCGGCCACGACAGCACCAACTCGGCGGCCGCTCGCGGTCCGCACGGGCCACGGGGCTGCGGAGGCGCCTCCTCCCGGGGCGCCGCAGACAAAGCCCGAGCGGTGGCAGCACATGGAGCGCAGGCAGCGGCGGCGCGGACCGCGGCCTACTAGCTGGCAGCCCCAGCCAACGTGCTCCTCTACCCCTTGGAATCCATTTTCCAGAAAAGCCGGTTTCTCTCCCCCCCCTCCGTCCGTGCCGCCCTCCCCCAGCTCACTCCACAATGTCATGGAGCTCCCCTCCCAGACCCGGATCCCAGCGGTCGTTACCTCCCCGTTGGGCTGCGGTCGAGGAATCCTGTCCGAGGGGATCGGGTTGCGGGAAACGCGTGCTCGCCGCTCCCTGTGTCCGGCGCGAGTGGAGCTGTTGTAAAATGGCGGCCGAAGCTCACGCCGCTGGCAGCAAACCCGATCCAGTTCCACTCGCCTCCGAGCGCGCTCCCGGTGCGCGCGCGCGCCCCCGCGTGACCCCCCCTCTCCCTCCCCTACCTCGCGCGTCCGCTCCTCTCACTCACTCCCTCTGCCCCTGCCCTCCGCCAGCCAGCTCCTCCTTCCTCCCCCTGCCACCGCCACGACCCCCAGCAGCAGCCGCCGCCGCCGCCGCCTCCGGGCGCCCTCTCCTCCGGGCCCTGCCTCCTTCCCTCTGCGCGCCTTCCTCCCGCTGCTAACGCTGCTGCCCGCGGGCCCCTCAGGCGAGAGTGGCCGCCCTTCCGCCCTCCTCGCCGGCTGCCTCGTCCGCACGCTCGCCCGCCCGCTCGCTCGCTCCCTCCCTCGCTCTCTGGGCCCCGTCCCCGAGTCCCTGCCGACTCGGCTCCTCTCTTTCTCTCTCCCGCGCTGACGTGACGACGCAGCCGACGCCTCGGGACGCGCGCCCGCGGGCTCCGCCCCCACGCCGCGCCGCCTCCCCGGCTCCTCACCCCGGGGGCACGCGAGACCCCGCCCTTCCGCTCCGGCGGCGGCGGCGGCGGCGGCGGAGGGACCGCGAGTGAATGAAAGGCCCGCCCCTTCCCCTCGCCACACTCCCCCCTCCCGGCGGGGCGGGCCGGCCCGGCGTGTCCCACTCGTTCTCCTTTGTCAGGAGACAGGCCTCTCCCCACCCCGCCCCGCCCCACCCCCACCGCCGCACCACGCGCGCGCCGCCCCCGCCGCCGGCCCGGGGCTGCCGGGTCCCGGGGCGACGGGGCATGGGGCGCGTGGCGCGAGCGCCGCCGCCCCGGAGGACACCCACCGGCCGGCGCGCGCCGAGCCCCCGCCGCCCGAGCCGCGGCGTAGCCGTTCCAGGCGGTGTCCACGCCGCCGCCCCGCGCTCTCCTCACTCGGGAAGCTGCAGGCGCACGTGTCCCCCGGGGCGGGGCGAGGCAGACAATGGGGCCGCGGGGGAGGGGAGCGGCGCGGCGTGGAGCCCCGCGCACCTTAGGGCCCCCGGGTTGGTGGGACTGTAACGAGGGAGTCGCCCGAGAGAGACGCGGGTTCTCCGGTTGGACAATAGAAAACACCACCACCCTCCCCCCAAAAAGGAAACCGGCCCCGGGCCAGAGCGCTCGGCTCTCCAGAGCACCTCAGGCGAAGGGAGGGGCGCCCCGAGCCCCGGCGAGGAAACCCCAGCTGGTTTTTGAAGGGAGAACCGGGCTGCCTCCTGTGGAGCGACCAAGGGCTCCCGGCTTGGGATGATAGGAAGGCCAGATTTGGAAGCGAAGCTGCCCGGTCGCGAAGGGTTGTGCAATCCTCCGTTTCTGTCCCTGGCTTTTTAAGCAGTTAAGGGTTTCCTCCTGGCAACTTGAGGCAGCACGGAGCTGCGTGGTTAGGACAACTGTGCGGAAGGTATCTATGTTTCTTTTGAAAAATCATGACAACCAAATCTTACATGAAGTGACATTTCCTTTGTAACCGTTTACTAGCTACAAGAAAGACAAGACAAAGGCCTTTGAATTTCAGACGCGATATGGATACTGATTTTACCCAATGCAGCTATAATGCAAAATAGTAGCAGTATCATTTTGGTTGAAAGGCTTGTTCCCCAAGTAAGCTCTGTGCTATGATAGCAAATCAGCGGTTCAAGGAAAAGTTTTAGATAAGCACTCTTCAAAGTTCGTAAGCACATAAAATGCCAGATTATTCTTTTAGGTACCTGGGTCAAATATGAAATACTTTGTGACCGATACTGTCTCGACAACCTGCTTGGAAAAGATCTGGGCTCTCCACTACCTAAAATCCCTTGGTATCAAAGACGCACAGCCTGCAGTGGTACTCAGCTAATTCAGCAATGGGAATCTGAGTTTCCCAGTCCAAAAAGGGTGGATAATGATATAAATAAAATGCAAACAGCTACAGTCTTTAAAAGGAAAATTAAGGAAATTATAGCAGTGAATGGGGGGGGGGGGTGCCCTGAAAAGTGCAATGCGAATTTAGAGATCTATTATTATTTATTTACACCTTTTCGGCTATCACAATGTCTTTTCAAAAATATCCAAGGGACAGGGGAGGGGTGTTGGGGAGGCGAGCAATATGCACAGCTGCTTTATCCACTGTTTGGAATGTTCGCAGGGCATGACAGGATTCCATTCTGAATCCTGGCCACTCAGCTTCCAATGGAGCTTCCTGCTAATGTGCCTGAGAAAGCAGTGGACTAGCACCTAAGTATCTGACTTCCTACGACCTGTGTGGATTGAGTTTCTGGCTCCTGATTTTAGTTTGACCCACCTTAGGCTGTTGCAGCTCGCTGGCTCTCTCTTTCAATCTCTCTCTCCGCTTCTCTCCATCCCCCAACCCCCGTGTGTGTATGTTAGCACTCCTTTCAAATACATGCTTTTTAAAACTGTCTCTAGGGACAAGCTTCCTGGCAGAGCAGGCTACCACTTGCTTTGGCTGTATCCCATACTGCAGTGCCTGAGTCTGGGCCACTCTGTCCTGCTAATGAGCCTGAGAGGCAGGGAGTCGCGGCTCTAGTTCCTGCTGCCCAAGGAGACCCAAATGCTGTTCTGGGCTGCTGGCTTCAGCTTGCCCCAGCCCTAGCTTTTGAAGTCATTTAGGGAGTGAGCCAACAGATCAAAGATATCCCTCTCCTCCTCCTCTCTCTCCCTTTTACAGAACGGGTCAACCAACCATCTAAGCTATGATGGACTATGTCAATCAGTGGATTTTTCAAAGACCTCATAGTGCTTGGAGCGGCAAGATTGACAGCGATTCATAACTGTTGCAATATCAAAACCACTTGAGCAAGAACCTCAGAGCATGCCCTACACCCGGGACTTGGGGAGGGTGGGAAATTGGGTGGGCCTTCTCCCTTAATACCCCCCTTTTAAACATGAAGGTAACAATATGGAAAACATATTAGTATTATCCACTTTCCTGTAGCCCTTGAACCTTCTTACCCTAATTAACTATGTAAAGAATGTCAAAATAAAATTTATTAATTAAAAAAAAATAAATAAAAAAAAATAAAAAAGAAGGAAAAAATAATTTTAAAGTGTCCCTATCTAGATTATGTCATCAGACTCCCAAGAAAATCTGTGTCTTTTCTGACCTCCAATTTTTTTCCATAACCATTCCCTATACCTTTATTGTAGTTCTCTAACGCTCGAAATCAACATTTCAAGAAACCAAACACCTAATCTCCACTGTTTTCTATCTCTAAAAGTCTCATCTCAATGAGTGTCATCTAGGTGTTTCTAGCACCATAAGTGACAATAAACATGTCATTCAGGACAACTCTTTTCTTCCCACTGTCATGTTAGTTCATCAAGTTTTATCAAGTCTGTCTCCCAAACATATCTCCAGTGCTCTTCATGTTACAACCTCTTAGACAAAACCTTACTGATCTACCATCTGTGCCAAGGATATGAGTGGTATAGGCGGCACATAGAATAGTCACCTTTCTTTCAAAATACTAGCAGTTCTTGGATATAAGGAATATAAGGAATATAAGGATATAAGGAATCCCAATAATATGCAAAAAAAATAATAAAATTTCACTGATTAACTTAGCATGATACATACACTGGCTGAGATTGAAATGTATTTGAAAATTACCACAAGAAAGAGCTCAGTGAGTATGTGTCTTTGTTTCCCTTAGTCTTCTTTAGTACCTAGCTCAAGAATGGATACTTAGTAAAGGTTTTTTGAATTAAACCTTGGGATAATAAACTGAGACTCTGACACCTTCCATCCCAGGTCTGCTTCTGAATGATAGTGTAGGCTTGGACAAATAGTTTTACGACTCAGAATCTTCACTTCCTTATAAAAGGTGCATTGATTTGTCATTGCTAAGATTTCTTCTGACTCGTTTTATAATTAATTTTATTTCAAACCCTTTTTCTTCAGTGTCTCAATTCTTTAAAAAAAAAAGATTTATTTTTATTTTTATTGCAAAGTCAGATATACAAAGAGGAGGAGAGATAGAGAGGAAGATCTTCTGTCCAATGATTCACTCTCCAAGTGAGCACAACGGCCGGTGCTGCGCTGATCCAAAGCCAGGCACTTCCTCCAGGTCTCCCACATGGGTGCAGGGTCCCAAGGCTTTGAGCCGTCCTCGACTGCTTTCCCAGGCCACAAGCAGGGAGCTGGATGGGAAGCAGGGCTGCCGGGATTAAAACTGGCACCCATATGGGATCCTGGAGCGTTCAAGGCGAGGACTTTAGCTACTAGGCCACTGTGCCGGGTCCAGTGTCTCAATTCTTAAAAATACTTGAGTAGGGGGCAAACCAAGCATTTAGAAACCCTGTGCACTATATAAGAACACCAGGGCTCAGTTCTGAGCTCTGGCTCTCTGGTTCCACTTCCTGCCAGAACCGTCCTTGGGAGACAGCAGATGGTCACTTAAAGACATGCCTACCGTCATTCCTCTGGGATGCCTGGATTGAAGCCTCCAGCTTCAGCCTTTACCCTGCCCTCGCTGTTGTAAGCACTTGAGGAGTGAAACAGCGAAGGGCACTGGCTCTTGCTCACCCTCTCGTTACCTCTCAAATAAAATGTTTTTAAACAAGAAAGGTGGAATGGATTTCTGATTCAAGCTTTAATTATTTTAGCTTCTTAAAAAGAGAGGGCTTAATAAAATATGTTCAGTTGTGTTTTCTACTTAAGGTCTTCCTTGAATTTTGGACCTGGTGCAGTAGCCTAGTGGCTAAAATCCTTGCTTTGAATGAACTAGGATCGCATGTATGCACTGGTTGAAATCCCAGTGGCTTCGCTTTCCATCCAGCTCCCTGCTTGTGGCCTGGGAAAGCAGTTGAGGACAGCCCAAAGTCTTGGGACCCTGCACCCGTGTGGAAGACCTTGAAGAGGCTCTGGGCTCCTGGTTTCAGATTGGCGCAGCTTCAGCCATTGCAGCCACTTGGGGAGTGAATCAGCGGACAGAAAATCATCCTCTCTCTCTTTCCTCATCTCTGTATATCTGACTTTCTAATAAATATAAAAGGAATCTTTTTTAAAAATCTTTCTTGAATTTTAACTGGCTTTTTGCA